CCACTTTTGTAAACTTAAATACTTATGTTTTCATGTATGATTTCAAATAATGGTATCTTAATGAGTATTACGATATTGTTTTAAAAATAAATTTTGAGTTAGCCACTTCGGTGGTGCATGTAATGCTTTAACCCTTCTATATTTGGGTCGGAACAGATTAGGATGTTATAGTAGTTCTATAGGTATATGTAATTGCATACCTTCAACACTCAACATATAAATTCCTCCCATTAACTTAGAATATCTCTCTTTCATTTTTTTATTTTTTTCTCTCCAAAATCTAACTCCACTAAAGGTATTTTTTGACATCCTTAAATCATTATCTTTTGTTCATCTATATAAAAAATTAAGATTCGTGGCATTAAAATCAATGATAATAATAATGGGTTTCATCATCAATTTTATCTCTAACACCATGATATTGCCTCTCATTTGAAACATTGTAAAATCATGTTAGAACTCATGACCTTGTATTGTCCAAACTATTTTATTTCTCATGATGGAAGTTTTCAATTTCCATTGACAATTCATACAATTTAGCTTGCCTACAAGCTTTTAGCTATTGTTATGGGTTTATAAACCTTGAATTAAAGTTTGATTTCTTCTTTGAGACCACTGATGAAACTAGACATAAAATTATCCATCTCTCATGTGAGTGTTATGTTTTATCATAGAAAACGCTAACTCTTTAAACTTCTCTTGATAATCTTTCACACTAGTTTTTTTGGATAATTTTTTCTTCAATAACATTAGAGTAGGCTCTGTCACTATACCTATTACACATATCAACTTCAAACCATGTTTAATCCTTGCGTATCAAATATATTGTAGCCATTTTTAACCTCTAATCTTTTGGAATGTCTAAAAGATTTAAATATTTTTACGTTTTTTAATCCAACTCTTAGGTTACTACAATCAAAAGTTTATATTTATATTTTAGTATTGGGATCATATTTTTCTATATTTTCAAAGTAGAAATTATGAATGTTCTTCTCCTATATATTCCCTTCGTGCATAGTGATATCATAGTTGGTACCATTCATGTGGTTACTTAATTTCAATTTCTTTTTTTTTTTTTGGTTTTGTTGAATGTTGGAAGGTTTAAAGAGTAATATATTAGGTTTCTCTAGTTGAAAAGAATGCATAGCTTTTTCATCTATCATAATCACCATCACTGATTCCTTATCCTATGACTTAGCTGGAATAGAAATTTGTACTTAGAATTTTTTTATTACTATTTAGGCTCGATTGTTTTCTTTCTTTGCCTCTTAGAATCTACAAAATGATCTCTATATACCTTTGATTTTCAACATTCTAGATTCCAAACTACTCAACCTACCTTCTTGCTCTTCTCACTTGATGGAGTTAGAAAAAAAATTTGGGGTCAAATTTAGAAATTATATGAAGAATTTTTTTGAGTGGAAAAAATGAATTTTAAATTTTTATTGTTAAATATTTTTAAAAATATGAGGTCGATTTCTTTTATAAAGGTGTCAAAACATTTCTAAAAGAATTGTCATTTTTTCTTTTACATTATATTATATAATTTATACGGGTAAAAATGAAAGTTTTGAAACTTTTGGGGTGTCAATTGACCCCTTAGTATATACTAGCTCCGCCAGTGCCTCTTACTATTTAATTTTTTTTATTCTTCTATCATTTTCTGTAACTTGTCCTGTATATCATCTATTTGTTACTGCATGAAAGTCAAGTTGGTATTTTCTGCCTTTTTTATTTTTTTATTTTATCGATCTTAACTATAATCTAAAATTTAGACTCTGATACTAATTGTCACTATTTAAAAAAATTAAATTAAAAAATAACGAGAGAAAATGATAGTAGGATTCAAAGGAAAGCGATAGTGTCATTAATAATAATCCATATGCAATACAAATTCTTATATATTTATTATTGTTCTAGTTTAGCAACTAATTGTAATGTGTATAACAAACTAACCATTCTGACCTTGCCGATATTCTTTAGCGGCCTTGGTAGTCTCTTTTCTGATTGACCTACACTCCACTATAAATGCAGATCTCGCTAGTTCTAGACCTTAGTAATATGGTTAACCTTCCAGTTAGGTTCAATATTTTTATCTTCAATCCATTCCGTGGTGATCCACTTCCTTTTAAAGTTCTCCTCATACTCTCTCGTTTCCTTAGCCATCTTAATCCCTAATTTTATTTTCTTTCCCAATTTCTCTCCAACAATTCCCAATTCTCCTTTTACACACCCTAATTAACCATTCCATCGTGACACATTCTCTTGCAATGATGGAATTTCATTACATTCAATAGGATAGCAAAAGTTCGGGGTAAGATAATCTCGCTCGATAAGGGTGCTTTTAGTTTTTGGAATGTAGCATTACCTTCGGGAATAAGATTACCGGAATGTAACATTACCTAACACATTATTGGGAATGTTGCATTGTTGTGTTTGATTTGTTTAGTAGGAATGTAAGATTAAAATGTTTGGTTAAAGGAATAAAAGATTATTGGATTGTATATTTTACCAAATTGTCCTTGTTATATATTTGTTTTTTAAACAAGTTGAATTCTAAATATTCAAAAGAAAATATTTGTATAAAAGATCATAGAAAATATATTATTTTATTATTTTTAATTTATATATTTTCTTTAAAAACTTTAAATTCATAAAATTTATATATTCTTTTACAAAATTTAAAAGATAAATTAGTTTATTGAAAGGGTTTACTTTTATTTTAACCCCTGAACTTCATATAAAATTCTAATTGTGAACTTTTTTTGTAAACCTAGAACAGTTTAAGGATAAATTTGCAATTTACCCTTCGTAGAATTTTTTTTATTCAAGGAGAAGGATAATTTTGAAAAAAAAAATGTTTTAAGGACATTTTAGTCCAAAGTCATGAGAAAAAATTAATACCTAAGAGATGGGGAGAATGACATTCCCGATAATAAACCCCCAAAATGTCACTGTTGGGAAAGACTTATTAACCATTGAAAATCTTTGCAATCCAAACATGAGTATCACATTCTGGAAAAAACTTTTTCACGGTAATCTTATTTTTTCCATCCAAACGCACCCTAAGAGTTTCGACAATCTTTCTTTATTGTTTACCATTTTACAGCTGTAAATGATCGATGAACTAATTCAAATTAAGGTAGTGAGTAGGGATTTAAATAGCGTTTTCGATCGCGACGCGTTTATCGCGGTTGCGAACATAACGAAAGTCATCGCGGTCACTGCGGGTGCCGTGGTCGTGAATTATTTTAAATTTTGCATAACTTATCATAAAACATAATAATTATAATTATAATGAGTCATTTTTAATGATTTCTAGAATGTTTTCTAAGCTAAAATGACATATATATAGTATAGTTTAACTATATAGAAGACTTTAAAACTCTGGTAATAGGATAAGATAATTAATTCATGATAACATTGTGAACACATTATTAATTAAATTACTGAAATTAGGACTAAATTAAATAAAAATTAAAGTTTACATTTTAAACTATAGATTAAATTATAAATTTTAAAAATTGGAAGGATAGCAAATTAATATTTCCTTAAAGATATATTTTATAACTTATTTAATAAAAATGGGTCCATAATATTTTGTTTTAAGACTAATAAAGCCTAGAATATTTTAATCCTAAACTCTATTCTCCCCCCCCCCCACCCCTCCCACGTTCTCTCCTTTCTTCATCATTTCTTTCTACTCTCTTCTCTCAACACTCAAGTATCAAAGCCAGGTAAAAAAACTCCAAAACCATAACATGTTCTAGCCTAAATCCAAAGTGTTAATGCTTTTTTTTTCTTCAACAATCTTAAGCTCCGACGAATATTCCTTTCTCCGATTACAGTGAATTTCATTCCGGCGAGACCCACAAAATAAGTTCGTTCTTTCTTTTTACTTTTCTATTTTCTTTTTCCTTTTAAATCTCAACATGCATATATAAAAAACGTGAATTTGAAAAGAAAAAAAAAGATTTGGTGACGATGAACACAAAAAAAATCATCTTTTCTTAAGTTTTTTTTCAATAACAGTTGGAATAACGGTGATTGCGTCCCGTTATCGGAGCAATCGTCTGTTTCCCGTTAAATTACAGGCACAATCGACCACGATTGGTGTGAATCCGTGATTCACCGCAAAAACCATGAATAGCGGTTTCGGATGGTGACGCGACCGTAATATCGCGGCCGCTATAGCATTTTCGGAACGCTATTTGATACCCTGGTAGTGAGCAAACCTTTTTCAACAAGGGTTGTTGAAGTCAGAACGAAGTGCCTCCGTTGGTGATAATGTTGAATCTTTCGTGTTAAACTCAGACTGCGACAATAGTTCGACGAGGGCATGGGTTCCAATAAAAGTCAGGGTATAGAGATAGAGGCCATTAATGCTTTGGTCCTTGAAAAAGAAAGACATTTCAACGGAATCCAAGACTTGTTGGAAAGGAAAACTTGGTTGGAAGAACAGTGGAGATGATAACAACCTATTAGCAAGTGAAACGAGTGGATCAATCGGCAGCACATCTGTAGAGACGCTCTCACGGTGGCACGTTGAAGATTTCCTCAATTCTGATTCTCTAAGGTTTGCGTCGAATCCATCATTGATCTCATCATTGATCTGTTTTACTTTTCTTCCCTTTATAAAGCTCATGGCAAGTGTATAATATGATTTACTTTGGGATCTAAATAATTTTCATTTTTGGGTCTGATTTTGTTAGACTTATGATGGCATGTTGTCGTTTTTCGACAAGAGCAATACAAGTACTTCCTCACCGGAAAGTTTAGAGCTTTGGGTTCCACGGCAGGAACCATTTTGCTTATATACTCCCAAAATGAAAGGGCAAAGAGGCAATGAAACAAAGGAAAATATAGGCCTGAAAGCTGAGAGGAGATGGAAAGATGATGCCTTTACAGTTGCAGAGATCATCCCTCCATCCATTGGCTCCAAGAGATTTAAGCCTCTATCATAGGATCATATCTCAAAAAAAAAAAGCACACCTCTGGAATTTCTATATAAAGAGTAGATTAATTAGACAGACATTTTTGTTTTTCTTACATCTGATTTGTGGAATTGCCGATGCTTAGACGAAAGCTAGGTTGGTATGGTTTTGTCTTGCAGACAGGATTATAGTTGTCTACATCAAGCTGTCTGAAGATTTGCTTTGTCTTCCAAATATAAGAACAGTGTCCTTCCATAAACTCAGTTGCATCAACCTGCATATTTGATTCAAATTTCATTTTCTTTTGACATCGATAAATGCAAATTCAAAAATAGAAAGCAGAAAACTGAGTACTTACATTTTCAATCCCTGGAAGTTCAATAGGTTGAATTCCAGCCAATCCCGTGGAAAGTACACTGCATAAAGGATCATTGACAAACAAGAACAGGGGGTAAAAAGATGGAATATACAGCAGTCTCAAATTTTGTGCTCCAACTTTTCATTTTTTATTCTTTAAAATATTTGTGTTCGACAATCGTGTTAATATGATCTTCTAAAAGATCCATGGAATACATGAAAAGAAGTAAGAAAATGAATTTACCCATGTTGGACATTATTCGTATCAGACATACTCAAAACATAGATTTTAAACATAACAAAATCATGTTCAAGTCCCCTTCCATTGACTATTTCATGGTACAATTTACCAAACAATTGTTAAGTGTGGCCCACATTTTGACATAGATGTGAATGCAAGATTATGACCACCCACCTAGACTGCAACAAAACATGTTCTTTGGATAGAAACCAATGGTGTGAGATTTTCCCTTACAATACTATTAGAAATTTGAAAGTTAAAAAATAATTAAAACAATATCAACCTAAAATAAGACGAGCAACATATAAGACTTTTAGTGATTCACCCTTCTCTATCTCCACAAATCAGAATAATAATCTTCCACTATAAATGTAAATATCACGAAGAGTACAAATACATGATATGACATGTATACTAAAATCCGATATATATACCAAAGTGCGGTGTATCCCAAAATATTCTTCCAACCTCCATACAAAATATCTTTGCAATATAAACCTCAAAAGTTACAAAGATTAATGATCACATCTCTCCAAAATAATTTCATCTCGTTTATTCTAAAGATTAAGACTTACTCTGTATGTATAGAATCAAAATACTTAATCACCAAAAATCCTTATTTCATTAAAATTCTTACATAAAATAAGTATTTACTAATTAAATAAACTTAAATACCAAATAACCTCCTATCACTATAATTACACCAAAACCTAACTTAATTAGCAATTATAATTTTGGTCAAAATACAACATACTAACTACTTGCCTGGCACGAAAAATGATTCCAAATGTCCAATCAGAAGAATTGTAAATATTGATAAATCTTCTTGCCACCATCTGCAAAACAGCAGTAGATGGAGCAGATACTTGATGGTTTCCATGAAAAAATAATGTCCAAAGAAGAACGTTAGAACTTGAAAGAGAAGAAGAATACCTTCCGGGCATCTTCCCATTTTTCATCTTTTATTGAAACGGGAGCTCCAAGAAGAACAACTCTTTCAACAAGTCCAGCTGCAGGCATATATGGATGAAGAAAACTTATCAAATGATCAACCTGACATATTAGTTAAAATTATGAAAAGATGGTGATTGGTGAACCATTATCTCCTTTTGCTTCAGCCAGACACTGAAGACATTTGAAGATTACTCGGGCACCCAATGAAAAACCGACGAGTGTCACGGGTCTGAAACAAGAATATATATATATATATATATATATATATACACATATAACCAAGGTGATTGCTAAACTACTGTCATTGTGAAAAAGGATCAGAATTTGCTTGATCATATGTGGTTACCTCTTACCTGTTTCCCTGCAATCCCTTGAGGAACAATTCAGCTAGCAGCTTCCCAGTTTTATATGATCTGAGGCATTATACACAAAGGGTCAGCGAATCGAAAACTATGATGCAAAGACTCAAAGAATGTCTTAGGCAAAAATTGGAGGGAAATCAGTGGCATAATTCAAAGACAAAGGGAACTAAGATGTTGGTTAAAATGTGTTGACAGAACCTCAGATCGTGCGTGCTGTATTTGGTTTAACAACAATGTAGAACAATTTGTACCATCATCGATCTCAATTATACTTTTGTGGTATATTTTGCACTGAAGTAAATATAACCTGTCAACAGCAGTTGTCCATGCACTGTCGATAAGCTCAGATGCCGTAGCAAAAGGTTCTGGCAGAGTTTTTGCTGCTAGTAATGTACTTAATACAGCCAGCATTTGTCCTTCTTGCATTACATTTGCTGCAACTTCTGCAAAAGGTGGCTAGATTTCAGTCAGTATATTTTTCCAGTTTGCTAAATTTGGCTGCTAATGTTAAAATAATACTTGAAGTAAGCCACTCCCTTATCTGAGTACTCAGCGCAATCAGATTCTTGGACTCCCACTTTAGCACATGCATATTTAGAACAGTACTAATAAAGACTAATTTGCTATCAAGAGGGGGGGAGTAGCTTCAAGAAAATTGAAGGCTACATAGCTTGGAAGGCTGGAAAATAAAAAAAAAAAGTCTAATATAAAAAAATTTAATTCCATGAATGTAATAGAATTCATTTCCATTGCCCTCATGGATAAAACTTTTACATCTCAGGGAGGCCAACAACAGTATCCGATTAAGTTTGAAAAGCAAAGGATTACACCACCAAAATGTAGAAAGTTTGAAAACAGAATAAGTTGTTGATTACAATGAAACTCAAAACAAGCAAAACATTGAAGCTTGAGGGCAGAAAGGAAAGGAAATTAAACACAAAGTGCAGGAAAGCAATAGTCAACCTTTATTTAATTAATATCTTACCTCTCCAAATTATCATTATAATTTTCCCAAGGTCTTAAGAAATCTTCTTCCTCAAATAAAATTCCAGAAATCAAGATTCCAACTGCGGGCCGATGAAAAATTACAGTAATTTAAAACCATTAAGTAAATTCTTGAAATGAGCCATGAAGAACCAACAATCAGTAATTCATAATGTAGCCTATTCTAGACAACTAGAAAACAAAAGGATTTAAATAAATTAATGAAAACTCACGCCTTGGTTATGATTTTTCCCAGTTGGTATGAATTCGAATTCATCAAGTCCTTCAGTTCCTTGACGCATTGCACTGGCTGTAAGACCAACTCCGGCAGCTGGAATGCATAGACAAGAAGGTAGTGATGTTGAAATTTTGTGTATTTAGTGTAATAATTTTAGATAATTAATGTAATCCATTTAAATTGTGTTTAAATAACATTTTTGTAGGTTATTTATTTATTTATGATGCACATTATGTCTTTAAACTTAGAATTACATGTAAACTTAGAATTACAAGAGCTTCAATTTGAGCTTCACATCTTTCATGGAAGATGGTGTAGAGCATACTTAGGGGTTTATGGAGGGTTTTGGTCTTTTGAGTGTTATGAGCTTCATTCATAACATTCAAAAGCTCCAAGTATGACATTTTCAATCATGTGTTTGATTAGAAATCCCTCTCATTGTTTGTTTGTTTAGTAAAGAAGCGGGAAAGCCCTCTTGTTCAAGAGGAAAAGAAAATATTGGTGAGATCTGAGCAAGGAGCTTCCAAATGTGTTTTGAACCAACGTAGTAGTACACTTTGAACTTTGAAATTCTTCTTAAACTTCAAAAATATGATACTTTTATTTGTTGGTGTAATGCATGTCAAGTGTTCGAGTGCCAAGCATGCTTTTAGATGAATTTGATGCTTTTGTTGTTAAAGATACGGGAAAATAATGTTAAATAACCCCATACTACTCCCAAAGAGCCTTAAAAATAAAGAAAGGGTTTAACTTGAGTGTTTAGAAGGGCAAAACATTTATGCGGCATCGTTACTTGTTCCATGAGTATCAACACTGATCTCTAGAATCGATATCAAATGTCAAGTATTGATATCGAATTAAAAGTTACATTTCAATGTGGCAATTTGATATCGGTAATGCTCAAGAATATCGATACCATAGGGTTGTGTATCAATGCCCCTTGCTTGGTATTGAAAAGGATCTACTTTGCCCTTTAAAACAATTGGGGATATGGGTAAAGCCTTGTTAAGGCTATATGAGATTAAAAGAAATGTTAAATCACTAAATGACCCAAAGTACCCTTGGGAGGTGCAAATTATTAAAACACCCTTATAAGTGTAAATTTACGAAAATGTTCTTGAACACTTTGATAAATGATAGTGAGTATTAAATTGATAAAACATGTAAGCAGGGTATCAAATAGCGTTCCGAAAACGCTATAGCGGTCGCGATATTGCGGTCGCGCCACCGTCCGAAACCGTTATTCATGGTTTTTGTGGTGGGTCACGGATTCACACCGATCGCGGTCGATTGCGCCCGTAATTTAACGGGAAACGGACGATTGCGCCTATAACGGGACACAATCTTACACGTTATAAAAAAAAAATTAAAAAAGAGATTTTTTTTATGTCATTGTCACCAAACCTTTTTTTTTTTCAAATTCACGTTTTTATATATGCATGTTGAATTTAAAAGGGACGATTGCGCCTATAACGGGACACAATCACCGTTATTCCAACCGTTACTGAAAAAAAAAACTTAAGAAAAGATGATTTTTTTTATGTTCATTGTCACCAAACCTTTTTTTTTCTTTTCAAATTCACGTTTTTTATATATGCATGTTGAGATTTAAAAGGGAAAAGAAAATAGAAAAGTAAAAAGGAAGAACGAACCTGTTTTGTGGGTCTCGCCGGAATGAAATTCACTGTAATCGGAGAAATGAATCTTCGTCGGAGCTTAAGATTGTTGAAGAAAAAAAGAAAAAATTCACGCTTTGGTTTAGGCTAGAACATGTTATGGTTTTGGAGTTTTTTTTACCTGGTTTTGATACTTGAGTTTTGAGAAGAAAGGAGAGAACGTGGTGGGTGGGGGGGAGAATAGAGTTTATGATTAAAATATTTTAGGCTTAAAACAAAACATTCTGGACCCATTTTTATTAAGTAAGTTATAAAATATATCTTTAAGGAAATATTAATTTGCTATCCTTCCAATTTTTAAAATTTATAATTCAATCTATAGTTTAGAATGTAAACTTTAATTTTTGTTTAATTTAGTCCTAATTTCAGTAATTTAAATAATAATGTATTCACAATGTTATCATAAATTAATTATCGTATCCTATTACCAGAGTTTTAAAGTCTTCTATATAGTTAAACTATATTATATATATGTCATTTTAGCTTAGAAAACATTCTAAGAATCATTAAAAATGCTCATTATAATTATAATTATAATTATAATTATTATGTTTTATGATAAGTTAAGCAAAATTTAAAATAATTCATGACCGTGGCACCCGCAGTGACCGCGATGACTTCCGTTATGTCCGCAACCGCGATAAATACGGCGCGACCGAAAACGCTCTTTAAATCCCTGCATGTAAGATACCCTTAAAGTCTATTAATGAGTTATGAGAGTCATATGGGTCGAGAATAATGAAAATGCTTGATGACTAGAACAATTAAAAATGTCATGAGTCCTGAGTGGCTAAAATGCTCCAAGTGTAGATGACAAGAATGCCCTTATATAGATGAAAGGAATCATAACTCCACTTCATGAATAAATCCTTCATAAGTATGCGAAGAACCGTTACTAAGGTTCATAAGCTATTAAAAGGACAAATATGTCATTGCATAATGTTCTAAGATAGAGAACGGGTCACATAGTGATGTGTGAGGAAATGCTTATATCTTATTGATGTGTAGTGATACTTTTGTGTAGTTAAACTACCTAGAGTGGCCTTATACGGCAAATGTTGATATGTGTTGCCTATGGTGATAGATTTTTAGATATCAATGATTGCTTAGTGAGACAACCTTTTCTTACGATTGAAATATGGGAATTGCTACCGATTGTTTTAGTGAGATCGGGTTTCCCTCTATCATCTATGCTTGACTGCTTTAGTGAAACTAGGAGACCGTTTCTTATATTATGATGGTGGAAATTGTTATCGATGCATTAGTGAGACCAGTTTCCCCTTCTATTATCGATACCATAGTACTTACTTGACATTAGGTATTGTTACATGTATTACTTGAGTGCTATGTGAAATTAGGTAAAGTATTGCTATTGACATGATTGTGCTAATAAAGCATTAGATCCATGGACTAGCTTTATAGTTAATAATACTCATGTGAAGTGAATTCATGAATGTTTTTAACTATAATATCCATAGATCGGTAGATGACTCGAAATATGATATTTCCTGACTTACATAAATATATAAAGCCTCGATACTTGTCTGGAGAAAGAATATATATGTTATCTATGCATCTTTGTTTATGTTGTCTAGCATGCTTATGTTTATGAAATTTATGAAATACAATAAAGTAAAAGTGTATAACTAAGCTTTATAAAGCTCAGTGTTTGGATGTTTTCGTCCTCAAATTAGTAGATCAGACTTATTTGAGTAGCACTGTCATAGCAAGATTTCCAACATATCACTTTAGAGTATAATATTTAATTACTATAGTGGGTATGTGTATTCGTAGGACAATTATTTATATTTTGGTCTGTAACTCTATTGATGTTTTGATTTTACTTGATCTTGTATTAAATTATCATGGAACTCCGAGTTTGTATAACATTTTTATAACTGGTATGAATGTCACTATTTTGTTATATCATGTTTAATATATGATTGAATATCCAAAAAAAACAAAAATTAAGATAATGATCATTTCAGTGACCCAATTTAACACATTAAACTCATCTTGTAACAGATCAATTTTGGGATGTTACATGCCACAAAGTGATTCAAGTGGCTTATAGAATGTTGACCACATTGTGTTAATTGTTATACATTTAAGATTGATTTAATTAGTAACTCCTCATAGAATTCTACTAAGTTATATTAATGGTAAAAAAAATTGTTATTAATGTTTGATAGTCTAAGAAAAAGTATTCAGATATTAATGGGAAAGAATTTCATATTCTTACTAGTTGCACTATGACTTATCACAAAAAAAACATAGAAGGATAGATGTGAGAACTATCGTTACAAAGGTTACATTTTTCTTAAAAGATATTTATATAGCATGTTAGTATATTTTTCAAATAAAAAGTATAATTTTACTTGTGCATAAGTAGATAAATTTAAGAAAAAATCATTTATGTTTTAATTCAAAACAACTCCACACATGTTATTAATATTTTTACTGAAAACAAATTAATTGACAATTGTAAAGACAAAATTTTGCACATTGTTGTGGGACACAAATTTGTAATAGAGGAACCATTACCTAATGAAAAGGAAATAGAAGCCAAAAATCGCTGGAAAGAATCCAACGAGACAACTTGTTGGTATATCCTTTCAAGTATCAGCAGTACTTTGAAAAAACAATACGAGAATTAAATCAACACTTAAAAGATCAAGAACAATCTGGGAGAGATGTTCAAAAGCCGAGCTATCTTGACTCAACATTATGCTGTATCCAATTTGATGAATTGCAAGTAAAAATTTGAGATCCAGATAAAGATCATATGTTGATTCTTACAAAAAAATTCGTTGAGACTAGAGAAATAGAATTGTGCTAAACTACAACATGCAAATCAAGATGATCTATAAATCTTTAGCTAAGGAGTTTGTGAAGTTTAGGGCGGCATACAACTTAGGGAAAGGGTTAAATCTTACAACTCAAGAAGGAGCTACAGTCTTATGAGTTGATGTTGAATGATAGGCATTCCATTCAGATAAAAAGATAACCTAATTTGTCATTTGCTTCATCTTTTGGAAAGAAAAAGAAACAACACGCAAGAAAAAAAGGTTACTCCGACTTTTGCATTTACAACTCAATTTGAGATGTGAAATGTCATAAAGCCCAACTTAGTTCATCTTGGAACATGAGAATGTCCAACATACATAATGGATAAGGATACTAAGAATTGGAGTAACGACAAAAGTGTGCATGTTCGTAGATACCCTAAAGGAATGAAATGGGGATTATTTTATAACTCTAAAGACCATACGGTCAAGGTGTCTACTTATACAATATTTCTAGTGGAAAGTAACATGAATGACTTCAAACCTCTAAGTAAAGTATTATTCGAGGAGTTAATAAGAAATAAAACAACTCCACAAGTTTCTATCTTGGATTTCACTCCAAGTGAAAGACCTACGGACAATGAACATATGGAACCTTAACATAATGGGAGAGTTTCTAGGAAACCAGATTTCTTCGTGTATGATGGTAAGGTTCACCAAACTGAAATTTTTGTACAGCAAGAGGGTGATTCACCCACATACAAAGATGTTATACAACATGTTGATTCCAAGCTCTAGAAGAAAGCATGGATGTGTGACTTATATTACATTTATAGGTTATTATCTTGTAAATATTAGTAAATTGGCTTGCCATCTTTTTTTTTAGTAAATTGTCTGCGGATTTGAGTTGCACTACCGGTTTTAACTTTGATATTTGTGAATTTCATGATTTGAGCTCGAGGACGGTGATTGGCAGTGTTAGGCTTCGTGATGGACTTTACATCCTTGAATTCCCTCTTTCAGTTCCAACCCAAGCACTCTAGTATTTTGTCTTCTTTGTTTCTCTCCATCACCTACTGATGTTTCTGCTGTTTAGATTGTTTTATGGAATTTTAGGTTAAGTCATCCTAGTTTTTTCTATCTTGCAAAGTTGTTTCCCAAACTTTTCAGCAATAAAAAGCATGCATCTTTCTCTTCCTTCTCCATATCGCTCTTAAAAACTGTTTGCAATTATCCATAGTAAAATCTAGTGTCCCTCTCGTGTCAAAAGTTTATATGGGATTCATTGGTTTGTTTCTTTTATTGATGTCATTCTCGTACTACTTGGACCTTTCTTATGCGTGATAAATCTGAATCTGATGACATTTTTAAATGATTCCATAAAAGGATTGATAACCAATTTCAAGGTTTATTGGATTCTAAATCTGATAATGGTAGTGAATATTTTTCCCACTCACTGGGGTCTTTCTTCCAGGAAAAAGGCATTGACCATCTCACTTCATGTGTCAATATCCCTCAGTAAAATGGGGTTGTTGAGCATAAAAAATGACATCTCCTTGAGGTTACCATGTCACTTCTTTTTTCTACTAATGTTCATATGTATCTTTGGGGTGAGACTCTTTTAGCTGCTACTTATCTCATTAATCGCGTGCATTGTAAAGTATTTCACTTTCAGTGTCCTCGGGATATTCTTACTCAATTTTTTTCTCATGTTAAACTTTTGACTACTAATGTTCCTCATCGTGTCTTTGGTTGTACTGTTGTTGTCCAAGATCATACCACCTCTAAATCTAAGCTCGATCCACGGACAATTTGGTGTGTCTTCATTGAGTATTCCTCTTTTTTAAAAGGGTTATCAGTGTTACTCTGCTTCAGCTAAAAAGTGTTTTCTTCTATGATTGTTACATTTTTTTAACATAAACATTTTTCTCTAAGTCAGAAATCCAAGGAAGAGTGTGAGTGAGTTTAAATTTAAGCCTTTACTGATTAATACACAACTACCAGTCACATTATTTCCTTCCGAAACCACCAAAATGCAGCCAACATTTGATAATGCTGAAACGTCTAATCAACAACCACTTAACACCACCACCACACCTAATCATGGAGACCAAATAGCAGGGCTGTGGCTAGGTTGTTGGAGGCCCTGAGCAAATTCTTGTAAAGGGGCCCTTAGATATAGAAATTATTTTTCTAAAATAATAAATGACTAATTTCATTAACTTAAAAAACTTCACTTAAATAGTAATTTCAAATCATCAATTACATCACATCCATAAAAAAAATACAAGTTACAAATTCACTTAAAACGTGATACTCGTGTTACATTCTTTGAAACAAAATCATCTATAAAAGTTTCAATATCAACGTCTTCCAAAATATCACTCTCAATAGATATTAAAGCAAGTCCATTTAGTCTTTCTTGTGTCATGGTTGTCCTTAAGTATGACTTGAGCAACTTTAGCTTTGAAAAACTCCTCTCTGCAGAAGCAACAGTAACAGGTATATTAAATAAAATTCTGTATGCAATTGTGACATTTGGAAAGCAATTGAAGCGTTTCAAGAACCTTAATATATCCATTGCTCCCATCATTTCCTTAGGTAACATCTCTCTAAGCGATTTTAACTCAGTAAAAAGATCATTTCCATGACAATCAGAAAACTCACCTCTCCTAAGAGCATTTTCAAAGTGACTACAACATGATTGGAGTTTAATGTCATCCATTGATTGCAAATTTTCAGAAGTAAACAAAAATCCAAAAACACTCTCATATAATTCATATTGTTCAAACCTCTTTTTCAATGATGAAATAGCTTTATCAACAATGTAGATAAAATATTGAATTCTAAATGATTCCTTTGGAGATAATGATGTCTCCTCACTATCAACCTCATCAAATTGTCTTTTTTACGTATTAGACGCCATTGAGGAAAAATAGGGTTGACTCCAATTTCAATGGCTAATTTTTTGCAAGGTCCATGACATTTGAAAATCCAACATCTCTATAATTTCTGAAAAAGGAAATCAATCCTTTTATCTCACACATAGCAATATCAATCACCATATTTTCTGACTGTAGATATTTGCTAACCTTGTTCACAACAGATAAAATGTCATACCAAATGATTGTAGATAGTAAAAACTCAAAACTACCAAGCTCATTAGTTGCTAAAGATTTTGCTTCACTTTGAGTTTTAGAATCAATATCAACAGTAGCTACTTCAAGTAAGGCTTCCCTTAATTCAACAATTTGAAATCTTATTGCTTTGATACTATCAATTCGACTTTCCCAACGTGTGGCTGACAGTGATTTGGGAGTATACTCTTTCACATAATGTTTTAAAACATCCCACCTCTTTGTTGAACTAACAAATATATTATATATGCGTTGAACTAATCCAAAAAAATCCCTTGCTTTATTTGAAGTGTTTGCAATGTCACACAAAACCAAATTAAGACTATGACAACCACATGGAGTATAAAAAGCTCTAGGATTCAAATCTAATAGTCTTTTTTGTACTCCTTGATGTTTACCTTTCATATTAGACCCATTATCATATCCTTGACCTCTAATATTATCTATATCAAGATCATGAGATTTAAGCACATCTTCTAACACTTTAAAAAGCCCTTGGCCAGTTGTATCATTAACTTGTAAGAACTCAATAAAAAATTCTTCAATTTTAAAAGTATTAGAAGAGCCATCAACATACCTTATAATTAGAGTCATTTGTTCCTGGTGACTAGCATCTGGTGTGCAATCCAACATCACAGAAAAATATCTAGCTTCTTTTATTCTATTGATAATAATAGATCTAATCTTGGAGGAAAGCAAAAGTATCAACTCGTTTTGAATGTCATTACTCAGATAATGGTGATGAATCTTACCACTAGTAATACGCTGAACATGTTCGATCATTACAGGATCAAACTCAGCCAACATTTCTATCAAACCCAAAAAATTTCCATTGCTCTTTTGATATAATCTTCCATTCCCCCCCCCCCCGAAATGCTATGTTATTTTTAGCAAGATACTTCACAATAACAATAATTCTAATAATTACATTTTTCAAATACTCTTTTTCTTTCTTGAATTGTACTTGAGCAACTTTATCAATTGTTTAATTTTGTTGCAGCCTATGCCTAAATTCACACCAAGTTGCCATGTTTAGTACATGGTCAATACTTGTTTCATGTTCTGTAAGTCTGGTACTAAGATGCATTCAATTATTATATCCTTTATTTATTAAATTACCTTTCCCAGGACCAGGACCCTTTTTAAAAATCTTTCAACAAAAACAAAACACTTTGTCGAGCTCTTTCGAATAAACAAGCCATTCCCTATCACAAGTTTCACCATTCGATAAATATCTTGTATAAAAGGTTGAAGAAAATCTACGAAGAAATTTGTCTTTGGGGCCTTTCACAATGCTCAAGTCTCTTTTGGGGCCATTTACAGCCAAAATGTCAATTAATTTAGACTCAAGAGAATCCCATTTTCTTGGATCATATATGTCAACATAAACAGATTCATTTTGCTCAACATTGCGGTTAGTATGATCAGAATTATGGTCCATATTTTGTTCAGAATTATGGGAAATATTGGCATTCTCCTTATTAACAACACCATCCACAATTTCCTCTTGTTCAACATTCTCACCATCAACATTAGTTCCATTTAATTCCTGAGAGTGAGAATTAACATCATTTTCCTCTACTACTTGGGTATCCTTTAAAAAAAACTTATCCAAAGCACCTTTTTGAGACTGAATTAATTGTTCTACTCTTTTAGTTTTTTGACGTTTTTTATATCTAGATTGATATTTTCGAATCATATTGAACAAAATCAACACAAATAAAAAACAAATCAGAGTGAGATAAGATAACACCAGAGTTCTGAGTTCAACTTGCAGTCGGCAACTCTCCTCAAATCAACATCATCAAATCTGCAATTTATATACAATAATAAGAACTAAAAGGTACAAAATTTAATCAGTTACAATTACAAATACAACTAAGAAAAAAAGTTTGAACCATTAAATTAAAAAGAAGTAATACCCATCTCTTTAATTTCTCCTGTAAATGGGATATTCAATATCTCAAAATTGAAATTATTAAAGAGATTGAATTTGGGAAAATACGTAGGAATTAAGAACGAAGAATCGAAGTGTGTGAAATAATAAGAAGGAAACATGCGTTTATAATAAGAAGGAAATATGTGTTTTTTCCTTTGTTAAACAATATTATAATTGAAAAGCTGGAAACAAAGCAATTGAAAAGTTGAAAATCACATGCAAAACAGTTAAAAGCTGGAAATCACATGCGTTGAACAGCTGGAACAATAGCAAAGCATTAAATGCAGTATTATATTAATCAGCAATACAACTGTATTACACCAAATATATTAAAAAGTCGACGTTTTCGTGTTCCCAAAGGTCAAACGTTTGTTTTTTTACAGCAGTATTTTGGGGCCCCTATTTTTGTGGGACCATGCACCGTCGCGCAGTATGCGCCGGCTCTGCCACGCCCCTGCCAAATAGACCTACACCAAACTGTAAACTTGATACTCTCCTAACACCTGGTCCATCTGTGTTACTGATTATTTCCCAAACCGAACATCTTGTATACAAACGACAACAAAAACGTCCCATCAGTCCCCACAAAGACTATGTACTGCCAAGAACTAGAACTAAGTTTGAATTCCTTGGAAAGTGAAGAAGGTGATCGAAGTAAGTTGGATGTTTTGGTTGATACTAGTGAGTTACCAATTGCTCAAAGGAAGGGAGTATGAATGGTACAACCTATTAATAAGTTTGTTGATTATGGTAAACTAAAGTCTGACTGGATTCATTCAAACTTATGGAGTAGACTATCAAGAGACTTTTGCTCTGATTGTGAAACTCAACACTGTAAGAGTATTATCGTTCTTAGCAGTAAATAAGGATTGGGTACTTCACCAGCTAGATGTCAATAATGCATTCCTCAACGGCAATGTCGAAGAGGAGGTCTATATGTGAGTTCCATCGGGAGTTTAAATGAAATCCGAGAATCAATGAGTGTGCAAACTATTGAAATCATTATATGGACTAAAACAGTCTCCTCGGGGTTAGTTTGGTAGGTTCACGAAGGTACTTCTGCGAGATAACTATAAGCAGTGTCAATCTAATCACACCCTATTTGTAAAAACTGCATCAAATATGAAAAAACTAAATCTTAATTGTCTACATTAATGATATCATCATCTTAGGTGATGACTTAGTGGAAATAAAGAGATTAAAGGCATTACTAGAAAGAGATTTTTTTTTTTTTGGAAAATGGGTCTCGTTAAAAATCTCTTCTAAATCCTAAATGGGAAAATAGTACCCATAAGAAATATATTAACAAAGCAATAAATCATTTGATACATTTGAGGCAATAATCTAGGGACAAACCAAGTCAAAAAAAAAAAAACAAAGAACTCCCAAACCTAGGTGCCCATGATGCTAACTTGTGCGCAACTAGATTACATGTTCTAGGATTATGATGGACAGTAAAATGTACATTAGAATACAAGAGAACATGAGCATCCTGGAATAGAAAGCCTAAGTGGAAATATTGTTATCCCGCGCTGACTTTATTGACAACCTTTGTAGAGTTAGTCTAAAATAATATAAAAAAAAAACAAAGAACTCCCAAACTAGGTGCCCATGATGCTAACTTGTGCGCAACTAGATTACATGTTCTAGGATTATGATGGACAGTAAAATGTACATTAGAATACAAGAGAACATGAGCATCCTGGAATAGAAAGCCTAAGTGGAAATATTGTTATCCCGCGCTGAACTTTATTGACAACCTTTGTAGAGTTAGTCTAAAAAATAATATGATGCCAATTGTTATTACAGGCAAGTCAAATGCCAACAACGAGCATATTTGCAAGGTCGACTTTGTTGGAAAAATTATTGAATGAATTGATGCTATTTATAGCTAATTAATAACAAGTCATGTCACTTGATAAATGGACTTAATTTTTGGTTTAAAGTTGCATCCATTTAATCATACTTATTCAACAATTCTCTTCATTAAAAGATTACAGCCTTTCATGAAAAGGTTAAGCACTTTTCATCAAAAGGATAAGTCTTTAATCGTTTGTTGTTGTATCCTAGGAGACCGATGTCCAACGTTACTCAAAGCACTTAGGAGAGAACGAATATGTCTTAAGATTGTTAGACAAAATGGTTAATCCGAGATAAAAACAATAATAATAATAATAATATTATATAATCGAACGAAGCAAAATAATTATAAAGAACTAAAATAGAAGAATGAAACTTGTTATTCATGTGTAAACAGGAATCAGATGAGTAGAGTAAGATAAACCGAAGAAGGATTTTTGTTGAGGCATGTATGAACAGTTTCCTTAAGACAAATTCATCCTCTCCTAGGTGCTTTGAGTAACGTTGGACGTCGGTCTCCCAGGATACAACAATAAACGATTACAACAGTAAGCACAACCACAGTGATCAGTCGAACATAATCTTGCCTTTCTCTATCACAAGGAAGAACGAATTTGGAAGGAATTTTCTAAGTGTTTTTCCTATTCCAAAGTTCTAAACTTGTGTAACTTGTAATTAGTTGCTCATTGTGCCTAAACTAACCTATATATAAGGAGAGGAAATTGATTGAAAGGTTAAGACCTTTCGATGAAAGGACTTAATCTTTCAATTAAAGGACTTATCCTTTTGATGAAAAATGCTTAACCTTTTCATGAAAGGATTTAATCTTTTCATGAAGAGAATTGTTGAATAAGTATGATGAAATGGATGCAACTTTATTAATTAGCTATAAATAGCATCAATTCATTCAATAATTTTTCCAACAAAACTTTACCACAGCCAGGGAAGATTGAGTGAGACCTCCCAGAGAATTTGAAACTAAAGATTTGGAGACTTGCAATAATTTTTTAGGCATGGAAGTGGTGAGATCAAACGAGAGAATTGTTATAGACCATAGGAAGTATATTCTGGACATACTTTTTGAGATTAGGATGACTAGTTGCAAGCCTTCGGAAACTCCCATGGAAGAAAATTTGAAGTTGCAAAAAGATGGTAATCCCATAAATAAGGAACAATATCAAAGGTTGGTAGGTAAGCTCATTTATCTATCACTAACTAGGCCAGACATAGCCTTTTCTGTCAGCATTGTGAGTCAATACATAAATGATCCAAGAGAAGAACATTTGGAAGTTGTGAATCAAATCTTAAGGTATTTAAAAATGACACCATGACAGAAGTTAATTTTCAGAAAACATGAAGATAGGACAATAAAGATATTTTCAGATTCTAATTGGAGTGGAGAACTAACTGATAGGAGGTCGACTATGGCTTATTATTCATTTGCTTGGGGAAACTTGGTGACTTGGAGGAGCAAGAAACAAGTTGTAGTTTCCAAAAGTAGTGTTGAAGCAGAGTTTCGAGCCATAGCACTCAGGATCTATGAAGGTGTCCAGTTACAAAGGCTTTTACTAAATTAGATGTATGTGATAGCAATCATTTTGAACTTCAGAATGACAGTAAGTCAGCCATAAGCATTACTAAGAATCTGGTACACCCCAACAGAACAAAACATGTGGAGATCGACAGACATATTATTGTCAAGAAAGTGAATGGTGGAACAGTAAGACTAAACTATGTCTCTTCAAAAAATTAGCTAGCAGATGTCCTGACCAAAGGCACTTTCAAGGGTCGCTTTCGACGAGATCAAATCCAAACTGAGTCTTTATAATATTTACTTCCCAGCTTGAGGGTGAATGTGACTTATATTACGTTTATAGATTATTATCTTGTAAATATTAGTGTTTTATTTTAGCACTAACTCTAACCTATTTTGTAGATAAGGATAATTTTAACTTAGTTAGAACTCTTACCTTAGTTAGGACTCTAAGTCGTCCCTCATATAAAATTGTGCTATAACTATTTGAGAATTATTAAAAAAATGAATAAACTCTTTGAATTCTCCAGTAATGCTGAAGAACACAAAACTGTGAGACTATTCGAGTTTTCTTGTATTTATGATTTTTAATTAGGAGCTCACACTCCTAACATCTGTGAGTTCGAAAATAACAGAGAAGATTATTATGTTGAAAGCGCAGCATTTCAAGCAGTAACGTGAATCAATTAAAGCATCTGAAACACTCTCCAAGTATAGTCTTGTCTTGTGTCAATTTTGCATCCCCTGGAGTATCAGATATCAAAGTACATATGTACATGATTAAGGTAAAATTTATTGCATTAGATATCACGACTGATCCGATTTTTGAAAGGAAATAAACTTCTGCTGCACTATTGTTTTTATTTAAACCTTCTGGACCAACAGGTGGGCCCAGTAAAGTCATTACTTCAGTTAAAAAGGCTAAAAGAGGGAACAAATGGGAAACATTGAAGTTGGATAAGGATCAACATAACAAAATTTGCACTCTTTGCAGCAAGCATGTCTCACTCTGCTCCCTTTAATTGTCAAGTTTCCTATTATTTTACACTTAAAAGTTATTTACACTGCAAAATGGCAACTGATAGTTTTTAGATGTTTGCTGTCATTATAGTGGTAAGTGAAGTTTCCTATGATATATATAAGCTTTGGGTTATTGACAATTCTATTAGAATGTTAACAACATTTTATTATACTATTGTACTCCGGTACTGTTGAAGGGTTAAAGCGTAATCTAAGTTCTTATAGATAACTAATATCCAGCGTATGTGGTTCAGTTATAACCATGATCCTATAGCTCTATAAAAACTCCAAATGATGCGGCAACAGCAACCGAAGCGGCAATTGATCCTATAGCAGTAGCGGCTACATCAATTCCACCTACTACTACTGCAGGAACAAGGCTGCCTAATGCAGGACCAAGGCTGCCTAATGCAGGACCAAGGGCACCTAATCCATGTCCAATAGCTGGTGCAACTAGGCCTGTTATGATATTATTCAACGGTGAGTGTATAACTTTGCTTATGCCTTTTTTTATAAAAAAAAAAAAGCACTTTAGGGCGAAATATATATATATATCTTCTGCTTTGTACAAAGTGATGAATTTCATACCACCAGTAAGGGCTATCAAGGATCCTCCTGTTATAGCAGCAGCACCAATCATGCCTGCCAATTTCAAATTATCGTTATTACTCTTTCCAACTTCGTCTGAATGTTCTTCCTTATTCAACTGACCCATGAGAGAGCATGCAACCATTATCTCCATAGCTTCCTAGAAAATGAAATTTCCTTATAAATGGACAGAAAGGTTCAATTGAAGCAAACTAGTTACTGCTAACAGGATTTGTGATGTTAGAAAACCAAATGGCATTCACAATTGATAGCTAAAACTCAAAATGGTATGTACAAAATAATGAGTAGTTTGTCACAGTTGGAGAAGGGAGGCGAGAGGGAGAAGACGAAGGACGAGAGAGGGGTATCGAAGAAGAATTGGGAGAATTGGGGGAAATGAAGAAACAAGGGTTAGGGATTGAGATTGATTTGGGAAGCAATTACCTAAGAGAGGAGCACGTGAGGCACACGGGAGTTATTAAAACACCAAACCAGTCGATCCAGCAGATTCAGATGCTTGGTCCAGGAGATCCAGGTGAAACACGGGTGGCCCAGTAAAGCCCAAGTCCTGTGGAGATAATAGAATTGGTTAGTAAGGACAGGCCAGCTGGCATAACAGATTCTCTATTTGCTTGTATGTAAATAAAATAGCAATGTAATGGAAAATGGTTATGAAATGAATGATGAACTTTCCTTTTCTCTAAATTCTCTTGTCATCTACAATCTTTATTTCTTCTCTATTTCCCCTTAATCCATAACAACTTGGTATCGAGAGCCTGAATTTTCCTGGCCATTGACGTTGTAATGCCAAAGAAAAACCAGACAATGACTGAATCATCAGATTTTGCAGCACTACAGAAACAATTGGAGGAATTGACTACTTTGGTTAAGCAGTCTCAAGATGAAACTAAGATTCCTAAATGGTGGGAAAATCAAGAGGAGCATATCACTGCCTTGGAGTCTAGAATGGCTACAAATCAAGGATACGTGGAAGAGCTTTTGAGGATTTAGACTGGTCGAAAAGGAGATCAAAATCAGCCTGAGAAGGAACAGGTATAGACCCCTAATTCATCTAATATGAGTGGGAAGCAAGCTGTACAGGTTACAGTGATTAATGATAAAAATAGATTTACTTATAAACCTGATGAGCCTGGAATTTTAAAATCTAAGCCAATGGAGTTGCCTACTCGTATAACTAGCTTTAAAAATGATAATCAAGTGGGGGAGAACAGTGATGTTAAGAACAATACAGTGGGCTTAGATGTGGATAGAAGAGGCACAGGGGGGTCTTTTAATACTTCAGGGAGTATATTGCACAGACCTAAAATCGAGCTACCTTTTTTTGAAGGTAGTAATCCAAGAGGTTGGATACATAAATGTCTTAAGTACTTTTCACTATGTAATATTGCTGAGGAATAAAGAGTACAAGTAGCTACAATGTACTTAACAGGAAAAGCAGAAATTTGGTTTGATGGCCATACTATGCAAAAACACCATGTTACATGGCATGAGTTTGAGGCAGACCTATGTCATAGGTTCTGTGATAAGGCCTTTGCTGATATAGTGGAAGAGTGTTGGGATTTTCGGAAGCTCGATTTGACAACTGGAATGGTTTGCAAAGAGGGGTCGGAACGGGTTTTGAGTTTAGCGAGTAAGGAGATTGAAAGATAGATAATTGCACAGCGATTTAGAGTGGTTCAACTTTCTAAACCAAAGTCTACGTCCACTACCTTAGCTCCTCACCAAGGATTTTCCAACAAATTCACTAATTTGTTCTTTCTTTTGAGGACAAAGAGATAACCTTACAACTCCCTAGTTTTTCCGGGCTAAACTAGAACCTTTCCCTAGCTTTTACACGGGATAAGCTAGAACGATGATTTTTCTACTCAAAAGGCTGCCCATAACATGGTACATCAGTGTACTATCATGGTGCATCGATACCCCTTCATTAAATTCAAATAAACTAACTGTTACTAGACGTTGCAGCCTTCGTGCATGGATACACAGCAGGATGTATCGATGCACAGTCTTGATGCATCGATACACAGAAGGATGCATCGATGCACTAATTGCATTCGGTGTTTGAGTGCATGGATGCACTGTAGGGATGCATGGATGCACTGCAGGGGTGCATGAATGCACTTGGACACCCTTTAGCATTTTGGCTCAAATCCGAATTTAATGAACTTTGAATTATTTTTGAAACCTTTTAAAACTTTGAATAAATTCAATTAAGTCCAAAAACCATTTTGCCTTAAATTGTTATATCAAAACATAGTTCAACAATCTCCCCCTTTTTGATATAACAAAACATTTAAAAAATTATTTTTGGCAAAACTCCCCCTTAATAAATTGTTTAATGAAAAAGATATCAAATGTTAACAATTGTTGGAAAATATATGAAAATGTTAAGCTCCCTCTTTTTCATTTCATTTAGAAATTGAATTTTTCAAACCAAACTTCTCCCCCTTTTTGTTATATCAAAAATAATTCGATCTTTGAAGTTCAAAATAACTTTGGAGAATAAGTATTAAATTTGACATTTTAAAACTTATTATTAAATTTGACATTTTAAAACTTATTGGAAAAATCAAAGCTCCCCCTCAATAAATGCATTCCAAACAAAATTAAGTTTTTAGGACCATGACACTTAAACAAAATTGAATTTCAACAAAGAATAATAAACATGTTAGTAGAACATGAAATTCAATGTATCCAAGTCTAAAATACTTTATGCAATACCAATTGTTGAAATTTGATATTGATACCAATTGTTTAAAATTAAGTGCATTTGCATAAAGTTTCCAAAAATGTTATGCATTTTGAAAATATTGATATCAATTGTTAGAGATATATCATTTTCATTTAAACCATATGCATAATCATTTAAATTTAGGTCAAAAATTTAAAATTTGTAAATTCAAAACATTTGAAAAGTTGATCAATTGTTAGAGAGATATCATTTGCATTTAAAACCAATTTTGACCAAAATTCATTATGATGAACTAAAAATTTTGAAAAATTATTAAGACATTAAAATGTTCATCATAATTTCCTTTTAACATACATGAGATTTAAAATAATACATAATTATTTAAAATTAAATGAGCAACCAAATAACCAAAATTAAAAGCTTTAAGCTTAGAGGTTACCCATTCCTTTTTCATGTGTGGCTAGAGCATCTTGAATATCATCATCTTCATAACCATTGCTCCCACACACCTACAAGAGACATTCATTTGATTTGGTATCCAAATTGCTTGGATCCTTGGACGTTAGTTTCATGCCCCTTGTTCCCTTAGGAACCCATTCTGTCTAATTTTAAAATGTTTCCTTTCTTAAAGGATAAGTATGTTCCAAATGACCATAAAAATGACAATGTGAGCATTTTGTCATTTTTAAACATAATAGGTTTTTTTTAGAAATTAATTCTTTTTCTTTTGTTAACCCCTCAAGCTTAACTCCTAACTCAAAATTTTCTTTTTCTAAATCATTTATTTTGATTTTTGAAAGCTCTAAATTATTTTTCAAAATTTCATTTTGATTTTCAAAATTAACTTTTGCTTTCAAAATCAAATTATCTTTAATCTTGAGTTTTGAAATTAATTTCGTATATTTGAAATTCATGGTCTCAAATCCCAAATACAACCTATTATAAGCATCTTGTAACTCATCAAAAGTAAATGAATTAAATTCATTGAGTTAGAATATACATCGAATTCTTCTGAGTGGTCATGAGGCATAGGTTGACTACTTCATCTTCATCATTGGAATCATCTTCATCACTCCAAGATGCAACAAATGCCTTCTTTCCCTTTTTCTTTAGAAGATGACATTCATACTTGACATGCCCCTTTCTTTGACAATTAAAACATATCGGGGAACTCTTCTTCTTGGTTGATTCATGTTTCACTTCCTTGGAAATCATGAATCTCTTGAGTTCCTTCAAGAGCTTGACCATCTCTTCTTCTTGTTCATCATCGTCTTCATCCACCTCATCACTTGAATCTTGATAGCTTTCATTGGTGGATTTGAATGCAATGCCTACCTCCTTATTCTTCTTGTTTTTCTTCTCTTCCCTTTCCTCATCTTCCTTCACCATCATCTCATAAGTGAGAAGAGAATCAATTAGCTCGTCGAGAGTGAGAGACTTTAAGTTTCTTGCTTCGATAATGGTCGTCTTCTTCGATTGCCACTCCTTTGGAAGAGAGTAGATCATCTTCCTCACATGCTTCTCATTAGGGATTACTTCTCCAAATCCCTTGAGACCGTTGACAATCACAGAAAATCTATCTGTCATAGCTTAGATGTCTTCATCGGGTTTCATCTTGAAGTTCTCGTAGCTATGGTTGAAAAGACTTTCCTTTGATTCCCTCACTTCGTCGGTTCCTTCATGAGTGACTTGGAGCTTATCCCAAATCTCTTTGGCAATGAAACAAGATGAAATTCTTCCATATTCATTTGGGCCTAAAGCACATAATATAATATGTATAGCCTTAGAGTTAAGCTGGAAATTTTTCTGCTCTTCTCTACTCCAATCGTTGTACTTGCCGGGTAGAGAGGAGAAACCGTCCATGATTGAGTTCCAAGCTCCTAGATTGTAGGATTGAATAAAGTACATCATCTTATTCTTCCAATATGCATAATTTGCTCCATTGAAAAATGGTGTCTTGTTGACCGGTTGTGAATCCATAATAGTATATTCTTCAAGATAATAAGCACCGGAGGAAAAAGTCATTTCTTTGTCAGTTGCGTCAGAAATTGGTAGAGCTTCTTCGAGAATCGTCTCAAGGTGGTTAAACCTTCTAACAAGTTAGGCTCTGATACCAATTGTTTGGATTTTCGGAAGCTCGATTCGACAACCGGAACGGTTTGCAAAGAGGGGTCGGATCGGTTTTTGAGTTTAAGGAGTAAGGAGATTGAAAGATAGAGAATTGCACAGCGATTTAAAGTGATTCGACTTTCTAAACCAAAGTCTACGTCCACTACCTTAGCTCTTCACCAAAGATTTTCCAACAAATTCACTAATTTTTTCTTTCTTTTGAGAACAAAGAGATAACCTTACAACTCCCTAGTTTTTTCGGGCTAAACTAGAACTTTTCCCTAACTTTTACACTGGATAAGCTAGAATCTTTCCCCTTTATAAAAGGATAAAAGATG